AGAGTGGGGCTAGATAAGATGTCTGCAGAAGAAAAGGAGAGATGGAACAAACTGTCTGAATAAAGGGACAAAAATGGTGGGTTTGGGGTTGTTTGTCCACATGCTTGCTGAAGATAGCAGGGTACCAGTAGAGTTTTGGGTGGAGGGAAAATTTGGGAGTCAGATGTCAGTCTTTTTCAATGTGGAAAATTTGATGCCAGTTTACATGTTTAGAGACTAGTATGTAATGAATCCTTGTGTATCCACCATCCAGGTTCAACAATTATCCACCTGTGATGAATCTCCTTCACCTCTTCCCCTGGAAGCCTGCCCTTCCCCTACTCACTTCGTCCTTTCATGTGTATGAAAGACAGTCTCAGGCACTTTATTGATTCAAGCCTTGTCCCAATTGAAGAATCACTTTCTATCTACTTTCTTCTTTCTCTCTCTCTCCCACCCTCCCTCTCCTACCCACCCATCCTAGCTCTTCTTTCTATTTTCACTTTCAGCACTGCAGCTTTGATGGTCCAGGTCTGCCAGGACATAAATCCATAAGGGTCAGCGCTGCACCCTGAGCAGCTCAGAGGGAGGAGCCAGACCAGCAGTGCCTCATGTTCTGCCCTCTTCTGTCCTGGACAGATAGCTCCATAATGACAGCTCCATGATGGCAATGGGTAAGACCCTGGTGCACATCAGGTCACTCTTCTGCTGCTCTGGTTTGGGGTGTCTCTGTCCCCTTTCTGGACACTCTCAGTCCAGGCCCTCTCAGCGCTTCTCCTCCCCGGAATCGGTGATCCCCTTGAAGGTGACTGGCAGCAGCAGAGATGCAGAGGCTCCAGGCTGGCTCTCCTACAGCCTGCGGTTTGGTGGCCCAGAGACACATTGTCCACATGAAGGTCAAGAAGTTCTTGGTTTCCAGACATCTCCCGGTGTTCACCTACACAGACCAGCGTTCCCTCCACCAGGATCAGCCTTTTGTTCCTGATGACTGCTACTATCATGGTTATGTGGAGGGGGTCCCCGCGTCCCTGGTTGCCCTCAGTACCTGTTCTGGGGGCTTTCGAGGAATGCTACAGATAAATGGCCTTGCTTATGAAATTGAGCCAGTTAGGTTTTCTGCCACATTTGAACACCTGGTCTACAAGATAGATGATGATACACAGTTCCCACCTAGGAGATGTGGGTTAACAGAAGAAGAAATAGCACGCCAATTGAAGTTGCAAGAGTCATATGATTCCACTCTGAGGCAAAGTTCTTTTACAGGCTGGTGGACTCACTTGCGGTTTCTTGAGCTAGTAGTGGTCGTGGACCATCTTCGATATGTTCACTCTCAAAGTAACGTGTCCGTAGTGCAGACCGAAGTAGTTAGTGTCGTCAATATATTAGATGCACTCTATGGCCCTTTTGAGCTTGATATAATTTTGACTGGGCTTGAGATCTGGACTGAAGGAAACCAAGTTGCCACAGATGACATATATAGGGTTCTGGAAGATTTTGGATTGTGGAAGTATTTACAACTTGATGCCCGACTGCCACATGATATTGCCCATCTTTTCATTAAAAAACACTTTGGCATAACGATTGGTCTTGCCTACGTTGGAGGAGTATGCCAGAGTCCTCACAATTCTGGAGTTGATGTTTTTGAAGATAGGAGTCTGCTTCTTTTTGCACTTCTTGTGTCCCATGAGCTTGGTCATAATTTGGGTATGGCTCATGACGATCAATGGTGTGTATGTGCACTTGAGTTTTGCATAATGTATCCCTCCAGACAGGTGACAGATAGATTCAGCAATTGCAGTTATGCCCAGTATTGGGACAATAGTTTCCGTAGTGGAATATGTATTCAGCCTCCTCCATATACATGGGATATACTGCAGTATTGTGGGAACCTAGTGGTTGAAGAAGGAGAGGAATGTGACTGTGGAACCACACACCAATGTATAAAAGATCCCTGTTGTCTGTTGAACTGCACTCTGAAGTCTGGAGCTACTTGTGCTTTCGGGCTTTGTTGCCAAGACTGCAAGTTCATGCCATCAGGGTCTTTGTGCAGACAACAGATCAATGAATGCGACCTTCCAGAGTGGTGCAATGGGACATCGCATCAGTGCCCAGAAGATGTATATGTGCAGGACGGGATTCCCTGTAATGACAGTGCCTACTGCTATGAAAAGAGATGCAATAACCATGACAAACAGTGCAAGGAGATTTTTGGCAAAGATGCAAGGAGTGCATCTCAGAAGTGCTACCAGAAAATCAACACCCAAGGAAGTCGATTTGGTCACTGTGATATCCAGGGCACAATATACGTAAGATGTAATGACTCTGATATCCTGTGCGGGAGAGTTCAGTGTGAAAATGTGGGAGTAATTCCTAAACTGATAGAACATTCTACAGTGCATCAGCTTCACTTCAATAACACTACTTGCTGGGGCACCGATTATCATTTAGGGATGTCCATACCTGATATTGGTCAAGTGAAAGATGGCACAATGTGTGGTCCAGAAAAGATGTGCATCCAGAAGAAGTGCGTTGAGAAGGTTTCTCCTTCACAAGACTGTCAGCCTGATACC